GGACACACACACACTCTCTCCTAGTCCATGCTTTCTCTGCACACACACACACACAAACACACACACACACACACACAGATGCCTGCGTCTTCCAGTTTCATTTTTCTCTCCCCACCCACATGCGCCTGTTTCTTTCTCTCGTTCATTTTCTGCATCTCCAAGCCTTTCTGCATCCCTGTCACTCCTTCAACAAGGATCGCACACACAAACCCACACACACACACACACAATCACACACAATCACAACACACACACACACACACACACACACACACACACACACAAATCACACACACACACACACAATCACAATCACACACAATCACACCACACATACACACACACACACACACGCACATACATACAAACTCCTTCATCTTGTCTTTTATTTCTTCTCCCTCCCACACTCTTCCTTTCACTGCTTTCATGCACGCTCACACACACACACACACACACACTCACACACGCTCTCACACACACACACACACACACACACACACACACACACACGCTCACACACACACACACACCACACACACACACACACACACACACACACTCACACGCGCTCTCTCACACACACACACACCACACACACACACACACACACACACACACACACACACACACACACACACACACACACACACACACACACACACACCACACACACACACACACACACACACACACACACACACACACAGGCGCCTATTTCAATCGCTCTCTCTCACTCCTTCAACACAAACTCATACACAGGCTTCGGGGAGTAATGGATTACATGTGACGACATAAAGTCATCAGGATACATAAAGAAGGTATTTGTTGACAATTACATTTGAAAAGATTACACGTCACTAACCCTTAAGTAAAACACATATTGTTATTTATTTCTTTTGTTTCTATTTGCATTGCATTTGATATTGAGGTTATCCAAAATGAATGTAAAGTAATCCGGATACATGACTTTTATATTTTGATACACAGATTTTGATATACTGATTAGATTCTTTGACCTGTAACTAGTTGTTGTAACAGATGACATGTTGAAAGTATCCCTCCCACCCCTGCTCATACATAAACCTCTCCTTCTCTCCTTTTCTTTGTACTATCTCTCTCAGCACGTCTTCCTCCCACGATCACGTACGCACTACCGGCCGTCCAGCTTCCCCTGCTCCCAGCTGGGCTTGGACAGCACTCTTCCTCTGGCCTCTCCGGGCCATCTGGAGTGCAATGTCCCCGCTCCGCTGGTCCCCTGCCAGCCGCTGAGCCTCCACGGACCAACGCAGCGTCTTCAAGCACAATTTGTACGCGTCAAAGCTCTGCTGTGTGTCCAGTGACCCAGCTCAGTGAAGGCATTGAGTCCCGCGTTCCCCCACCTCAAAGGAGCCTCATTCTGCTTTGATGACACCTGCGCTCCGCATCTCTCCGGACGGAGGATGATGGCACAGTAATTGATTGAAGCCACAGAGAAACCTTACTTGCAATTATAGCTTTGTTTGTGATCTTGGAGAGAGTTTGTTTTTCACATGAGTAGTGAATATCAAAACCCTGGCACACTGTAGCCTTTACAGCAAGCTGAACCAAATCAATAGTGATTGATACTGTAACTTTATATCTGTTGTCAATCTTGGATACACACGCTGCTGGTTTCAGGAGGTTCTAATACAATGTCCCAGAGATAAATAAAACTGCTTATATATACTGCGTAGAGATGCCCCGCCCCTTAGCCTATCACGTACAATGTGTTGGAGCGCTTGCAAACGAAGTATGAAGAATACATAATGATGTCACTATATAGGAAGTAAACAAAGGAGAAAACTCCCTCTCACACAGGGATTTCAGCCTTTGCAGACCATTTACATGCACTAAAACCTATACAACACACTACAGGAAAGGGGAAACCCTGAAATGCATAATAGGGCTCCTTTAATATTATATAGGGTGTCAAATACGGGTTTGTTTTGAGCCAAATTACATTACATTACACTTCATTTAGCGCAGGGGGGTCAAACTCAATTTAGCGCAGGGGCACATCAGCATTATGGTTGCACTCTAACTATATAAATATACATATATAAATATATAATATATGTAAAATGATGTGTTATCTTACATTATTGCCTCTGAATTGGATTATTATCGGAGAGGGTATAATGACTTCATAATTAACTACGTCTGAAAGCAGAAGTCTGGGGAAAATAATTGCAACTAATTGCAAGTCTCTTCAGTGCGCATGTCACAAAATGAGATGCATTGTGGGACATGTAGTATATGGGCAATGTGCTTCTTTAAAGTGGCACGTAACTGTATAATAAACTTATTCTATTCTTTGCAAGCTCTTGAGGCTCTTTCATAAAATGAAGTCGCGGGCCGTATTTGGCCCCCGGGCCTTGAGTTTGACACCCCTGATTTAGCTGATGCTTTTATCTAAAGTGATTACCAATAAGTGAAATAAACCTTGACAATATAAACTCAGAAGAGCAAGACACCTGCAGGTACATTAGCTTCAATAAGCCATGCCTCTGTAAGTGCATGTGCATTAGTCTCAATTGACCGACATCTTTTCAGTACTACAACTATTTTCCCTTTTTAGCTTGTGCAAACCAATCACAGCTTGTAGCACCGCAGCGCACTAGAGCTATGACTTAAAGACTGAAATACAAATATACAGAATCTATTTCAACACATAAGACAAAATTAATGTGGCTTTGAAATGAAGTCGTGCCTTTTGAAATTGATCCTAATTGACTGTAAGTCATTCAGCCAGTTTCCCACCTCAAAGGGGCCTTGTTCGGCTTTGATGACACCCACGCTGCCTCTCAGCTCGACAGGGTGATTAATTAAAGCAAGTAAAACACAGTAGTCGCAATTACAGCACTGTTTAAGATCTTCTACATCTAAACAATCTTTAAACTGACCACCAACACACAGAGTGAACGTGCAAGGGCAAGGGAAAGCAAGGAGTAATTGTTGTTTTCGCTGCACACTCCAAATCTCCAAACTGTATGTAATTGTGATTCCTTTAGACAACTCTCTGGAAACACATTAAGTTTTAAAGTCACCACAACTCTTAAGGTTGTGTTCAAGATGCTTGGGCAACATCATTTGCGCTCCAAAAGTGGCATAACCCAAAATACAAGCCTGAGGCGAGTTAGCGCGCAGTTGCTATTTTTAAAATCCTTTAAACACACAGATCCTTTGTGACACCCGCTCTCAACAACACACACACACAACACACACACACACACACACACACACACACACACACACACACACACACACACACACACACACACACACACACACACACACACACACACACACACACACACACACACACACACACACACACACACACACACACACACACACACACACACACACACACACACGATTCTCTGATTGAACTCCAGCCACAGGTTTGGAGAAAATAATCATCATCAATTACAAAGTTGTTGTTTTTTAAGACACTGAGCATAAATTGATTTTGGAATCCAGGAATTGGAAACTACTAGGGGAGTTGTACCATAGTGACGTGTGCTGCATAAAGTAATCAGACACAGCAAAGTGACCAACACAAAAAGCATAACATAGCGCACACATTGCAATGCACACAGCACTGTTAAAACATGCAATATGCTTTATTAGCATCTAACAGAAACCACATAAATCTCTCATTGTCACCCCAACAATAAATCAGTCCTTTAACTGGGAAACAAACTGCAGCAGCAGCAGCAGTCAGCAAACAGTAAGTAGTAATATGCTTAACCTTGCAATGACCCTGTAGTCCTTTCTTACATGAATACAAAGCAAATAAACTCTGTATAATCCACATACAAGCATTTAGGGACAAGACAAGCACTGCATTCATTTTAAAACTTTGGAGCAATAAGGTTTGAAAGCCAAAGTATGAAGGAACACTTGTCAGCTGATTGAACCCCAAATGGTGTTTTTAAAACGTAGTAATGCCAGTGCAATGTGCAACATACTTTGTCGATACTTTTTAGCCTCTACAACAGTAAGCTGAACAAAATCAAAAGTGATTGATACCGCAACTTTAGTCAATCTTTAAGATGTCAACAAAGGAGATCAAACTCAGAAATAAAACACATTGCACAGAAACAATACAGACACACACTTCTGGCTTTAAGAGGCTCTAATACAGTATCTCAAAGACAGGAATAAAACAGCTTGTCTGTACAGTGAAACACATCACATTGGACTCAAAAAGACAAGCACTGCATTCATATTCCAACTTTGGTGCGAGAAGGTTTGAAAGCCAGAACAAAAAGGATTATTTTCCAGCTGATTGAACCCCAAATGGTATTTCTAGAACTTGATAACGGCAGTGAAATCAACAGGCAATGTGTGACATCAATACTTTTTAACTGTAGCCTTTACAGCAAGCTGAACAAAATCAATAGTGATTGATACTGTAACTTTATATCTGTTGTCAATCTTTAGGATGTCAACCGATGAGATCCAACTCCCAAAAACTCATGGACACACACACGCTGCTGGTTTCAGGAGGTTCTAATACAATGTCCCAGAGATATGAATAAAACTGCTTATATGTACAGTAAAACACATCGCAATGGACTCACCTAAAAGCATTTAGGGAAAAGACAAGCGCTGCATTTGTTCTCAAACTTTGGTGCAAAACGATTTGAAAGCCAGAACAAGAAGGACCATTTTTTTGCCGATTGAACCCCAAAAACTTGATAATGGCAGTGGAATCAACAGGCAATGTGTGACATATGAGGGTCAATACTTCTTAACTGCAGCCTTTACATTAAGTTGAACAAAACCAATACTGAACTGATACAGTAACTTTGTATCTTCAGTGTGTAAGATACCAATACAGGATCAAACTCTGGAGTAAAACACATGGAAACACTCAGCACAGAAACAACAGACACTGGGCTTTAGGAGGCGATATGCAGACACGGGGATGAAACAGCTTATCTGTACAGTGAAACACATCGCATTGGACTCACCTTACAGCCAAATGAAGCACGAAGTGAGAGCCCCTCTTCACTAGTTGATCAGCTAAGTCTCTCTGCGTGTTTCAGCACCACGGACAGCGCGTTCTCCTCTCTTGTTATACGGAAATGATGAAGCGCTGTCGCCGTGCAAACCGAGAAGAAAAAATATCAAGTTTGATGCCACCCCGTAGATTCTCTGGCTGGAGAAAACATGCCTCGCCTGATGCTTGCAGAAAAGCCCGATCACAATGCCTCTCGCTCGGTACTCCTCACATCTTTGCGCATCCCCGAAAGAGTCTCCCAGGACCGGAGAGTCTGCCTCCAGGCTGCACAACACAGGGACTTTTATCACTGGCTTATCGTGCTATCGGATCTTCATTGGCACGGCTCTCTTTGTCTCCAAGGCGATGCTGATACTGATACTGATAGAGATCAGATGAGTGAGTTTCCTCCCTCCCGCGGATCCAGGAGGAGTGTCCCCCTCGGTCTGAGTTCATTAAAGACTCCTCTAATATGGATGAGCTCCGTGAAACATCGTTATTATAGCAAGTCTTTTATATCACGTGCACTACCGTGACGATCCACATGCCCCTTTATCGGAGATATTCTAACGTCATTATGATTAATTATGAATTAGGGATTATATATGATTTAGGAGACAGTGCCGCTGTAGGAGTGGGCGGGGTGTTTATGAATGTGTGTGTTTGTGTGTGACTTTTTACCAGTTGGCAGGGCGCAACAGCTCAATTGAGGACATAATTGGTGTCTCCAATTTGTTTCCACTTGAGCTGCTTGAAGTAAAAGGATGCATGCTTTCATCTTTGGCTCTGGTAAATGTGCATGGCTGGTATTACCTGTCTGTCTCTCCTCTTTGACTTTGTCCTATCATGTATTGCTTTTATTAAATACATGTGGATAGTCTTCTTAAGCTAAATAAGGAACACATTAATAAAAAACCTTTAGAACTATACAATTCAACTTTATTATCGTATTTACACCATTGTATATAGTGTATGTTATATATTGTAGTACAATATGCACACTTGACCTCTTTATTCCCCTTTTTTATATACATGTATTTATTTCAAATATTTATATTGCACCTTAGACCTTTTTATTATATGTTTTTATAACTATAACAAAAAAATGTTTATTCTAAAATAAAGACACTGTCACAAAATCCAGTTTCCTCTCTGGATTAAATAAATGATTAAATATGATAGATGATACTGAAATGGTTTGTCTTCTTGGATCGAAAGGGACCTTTATGGTTAAATAAGGGATACATTAAATATGAAATAAGTCAAATCAGGGATAGGAAGTTAGGGCGGCACTATCTGAAGTCTCAGAAAGTCCCAAATGGTGTGCGTGTGTGTGTGTGTGGGAATGTTTTATGATTTCTAATTTTATATTCAAACTCTGATGTCAGACTGCATTTGGCAGACTACTCCAGCTCAGCTGTTCCAGTCCAATACGTTTAGTTTCCAGAGATAGAAGGAGACACAACAGATGTGAGAGTCCACCTGCTGCAAGCTCTATGCCTCAGAAAAGCATCTCAGTGTACAGTGTACCATTGATTGTATTGGGATTGGGATTGTATTGATATCAAAGTGCCACTTCCACTTATTGACCTCACCACATTGGGCTGGTTTCAATGTGACCGCCTGCAGCCAGAGAACAGCCGTCAGCCTCAGAGAAACGCACACACAGTAAGCTGTTTAATCTTGCACTGATTTGTAATAAAGGATTTTCTCATAAAAGAAAAAGGATGCATATTTGGAACAAAGAATAGAGCTTTAATGAAAAGAGAAAAAGCCCTGTGGGAGGGATATCAAAATCCAGTGGATGTGCATAATTCATCTTAGACTATTCTATACTATTCTCAGTATTAGTCCTCTGCACTGCAGGAGGGAGCTGCTTCACTTGGATCTGTACTAAGGCAGTATGTTTGTCAGGTGTGTTTCCTAAGTGACAGCTTGTACAAGAAAAACCAACATTTAAAACCCGTGGGAAAGTCTATCGCAGATACTGGAGAGGAGACTGATTTAAATCTCCAACTGCAAGCATGCTCATTTATCTGGCACCAGCTATTGGAGTTGGTCTAATTTAATGTAATGTTGAATTCTTATGCATTATTATTATTATTATTATTATTATTATTATTATTCTAACCTGCGATTTAAGATTCAAAGGCATTTTTTTTTTTCATATGCACAATAGCTGCATTGTAGTTGTGGTAATACAACTCATAAGTGTCATGCTCCTCTTACAATGCAACATACATTACACTTAAGACATGAAAACAAAAATAGTGCAAGAAGAAATTGAAATGAAAGTGTTGCTGTTCAACCATCACTGTGTTTCAAGGCTCATGTACCAGACTGTAAACGATGTCCAAATGAATATTGCATGTTGTTTCATGTCACTGTGTTATTGTCTCATCTCAGGGTGTGGCTCCTGAAACACCGAGTCTTCCTCCTGCACAGCTGTCACACTCTCGCCGCTCGTGACTTGAGCACACCCCCCTCTGCTGGTGTTACGCAGCAAAGAGCCTTTCTTCTCTGGGCTTTTTGTATGGCTGCAGGGAGTCTGGGTACACGTCCAAGAACACTAATTCAGACCCACAGGAAGGCTTTTCTATCCAATGCAGCACAAGCAGGGTTTATTGTCCTACTGCTTTTTCTTTTTTGTATTCACAAAGCTGCCGCATGTAAGTGGGGCAAAACATCGCCCAAGTCCTGGAGATCTAAGAGGCTCCAGCACAGCAGCTGCAGCGCGTCTCTGCGGGCCGTTCGCTGCCTGTTGCATCAGCAGACCTGACGAGGAAACATGCTGAAAATCATCAGGGATGAATTCTGCGTCAGTGGGGGAGGAACATCTTGTGTTTGCACCTTTGAATGTGACTTATAAGGTCTTACAAACTAATACTGCATTATTGCAAAAATGATGTGTCAAATGCATGTTTTTTTATTAAAGAAATGTCACCATGCACTATTTTTACAGAAAAGCTTGTTCACAACATTCTCTGAAACATTTAGCTTCCTGTATTTTTATTTTTTTACATATACTGTATAGTTTACTTTATGTGTATTACTCACACATTGGTCTTGCAACATAAGCACTAAATTATGCGTCAGCGAGGGAGGAAAATCTTGTGTGTGCACCTTTGAATGTGACTTATAAGGCGTTTTCTTACAAAGTAATAATGCGTTATTGCAAAAATGATGTGTCAAATGCATGTTTTTGTATTAAAGAAATGTCACCATGCCCTGGTTTTACTGAAAAGCTTATTCACAACATTCTCTGCAACATTGAACTTACTGTATTTTCTTTTTGACATATATAGTTTACTTTATCTACATCACTCGCACATCAGTCTTGCAAGATAAGCACTGTTTTATTGTTTTTACAAATAGTTTTATGTCTTATGTATATTTATGTTGCATTGTTGCAGGAGCCTGGGACTTAAGATTTTCATTGCCATATCTAAACTGTAGCTTACTGTGCATATGACAATAAAACCTTTAAATCTTGAATCTTTGAAAGCTATTAACAAGTGATAAAGAATAGCATGGAGGAAAATAGTGACTAAATAAGATAATTGACAAAATAATAATGCATTATTGCAATTATGATGCGTCAAATCCAAGCTATTTAAACGGGACCTATCATGCAAAATGCACTTTTGTACGTCTTTTATACATGAATATGTGTCCCCGGTGTTCCAGGGAACTCATCAAGTGTCAGAAAACACAACCCTCTCTATTTTCCTCCATACCCAAATCTCTAAAAACGGGGCTGCAACGGATCTGATAAAAACTGATCCAGATTTGACCTGACGTCAGGACGGTGGCGCTACGGCTATTGGGCCAACTCTCCACCTATCAGGGGAATGTGGGGTTGGGCCACGGCCGGCCATTGCCGCTCGAAAGCGCTGGAGACGCTGTAGTACATATGCCAGGCCTGTAAGTGGCGCTGTAGTCTGCCACAAAAGCAGCGAAGAAGACTTCCCGCGTATGGTTGCCATGGTTGCCCTTCTGTTTATTCTCCGCTGTGGCTTTTTTTTCTGTTCTGAGTTTCAGTTCGCCGGTCAAGATGTCCGTTAAAGTTTAAATCTTCCGGACAAAATTAGAAAAGTGCCGGTCAAAGGTCTTCTTTGTTATTTATTGAGCTTTAAAACAAATGAATAATGACTCTATATAATAATATAATAAAACACGGAGGACGGAGATCTCCCCCCTCTTCTGACAGCGTGGTCAGCTGCAGCTCACAGAATCAGCCCCCTGCAAAAACAGTGCTGGAAAGAGCAAATGGAACGAAATGAGGCATGGCTAAAATGCAGGATCTGTTTGGTATTTTGAAAAAAAAACTATATTTATATAGGTATGGCCCTACAATATATTGTTCAAATATAGCATGATAGGTGTCCTTTAATAAAGACATGTCACAATGCCCTGCTTTAACATCAGAGCTACTAAAACGTGATAAAGATCATTTTGTTTTAGATCAATGCTTTTTAATGTCTGTATGACTTTGCCTAAGTCTTAAAGTTGAGGCAATTATTTAACAGCGTCTCAGATTGGAAGTGTTGGCAGGTCTAATGTGCTTTAATGAACATGTCATCTGTTGGACAGCTAGTTTTTGATGGATTTTGGAGGTTGTGAGTCTTGACACAATTCCCTGGCCAAAAGACAAACAACCCCCTCGTGGCACACTCATCATTTCCATCCTCTCACTGCTCATCGCTCATCCAACCCTGGCATCTGCTGTTGCTCATAATCAATAGTGTAGGGATCCAAAGTCTGCCCAGAGCAAGCAGTTGCCAATTATATATCGCCCACAGAATATTGTTACTGTCACATAAAAAGTATGTGGTTTTTTTTCTTTGTGCGAAAGTTTCATAGTTTCAGTTTTTTGGATGCTATGCAAAGAAAATATTGTGTGATGCTGAAATGTTCACTGGTTTGAAAACATAATTCTGCTTGAAAATCACACATGAACCCTCCATATGTTCTCAACATCTGGCCTGCTTGATCTCTGTTACGTTAAACACAATCTTATGCTCACGCTCAATTCATTTTCATTCCTTACTGTCAATTCTCTGCGTTAACCGTGTGGACTGATTTATAAGCTATAGATCTGTAATGAATGATTCATTACGTCCTGACACAAACTGTACCCCGAGGTCCAATATTGCCATAAATAATCTTCCTCAAACTTATTACAGACTCAGCAACGGCATAACTCTGTCGTTCTAAATTGCTCTTTTGGCCCAGCCGCCCTGTGATTGATTATGATAAATGGACACGGGCAACAGTTTAATAAATTACACTGACCAGAATAAATCCAGGGCTCT